GCTGCCCCTCGCTTCGCTCGCTGTCCGCCGCTCGCTCGTGCAGCAAAAAATGGTCAGTTTTGACCCGTTTTTGGGCTGTTTTGGCCTGTTTTTGGGGTGTTCTTGCGTGGCGCGGTGACCGTCGTGAGCGGAGCAAAATGTCAGCCATCTCAGCACCCTGGAACCCCCCGGGTGGCACAGGGCTGGATGGGGCTTTCGTATAGCAGGGACGGTGCTGCCTCTCGCTTCGCTCGTTGTCCATCGCTCACCGCTCGCTCGCGCAGCAAAAAATGGCCAGTTTTGGCTCGTTTTTGGACTGTTTTGGCCTGTTTTTGTACTGTTCTTAAGTGCCGCGGCGATTAAACTCCTCTCACATCAGTATCACAACTTTTCATAGCTTTACTGCATTAAGAATATAAGCTTGTGCCTATTAGTTAGCTCATCTTCACTCTACACCAAAGACTACCTTAAGTCTGTCCTAGGATTTATTTGTTTTCTCTAGCATTTAATATGATATATACATACATACATACGTACGTACGTACGTATATGTGTAACCAACCGTTGATTCAAGTTCAACATCAAGCGTATGTGTGCTACGGAAACACAAGGAGAAGAGGAAGCGCATCAAGGTTTTCGTAGCTCCTCCCTGCTTTGACCATGCATCCAATGTCGAAGCAGCGTGCATGGTAGTGAAACATGGTCAACGAAACTGGAGAGCTTCCTTCATGCGGGGGGGTTTGAGATAGGAGACGCACCTGAGGAGGTTTTCCTGCGGTCGTCGGAGTGGGATGTCTTCATCGCCATGGACGCACGTGTAGGTGTTCGAGTCGACGAAGGTGGTCAAACCTTCAAAAAGATGGAGCAGATGATCATTCCAAAGGCGAAGCACTGTTTCAGCGTCTGGAAACATAACTCGATTTGGAATCTGTAGTACAATGTGATGGGCTGCTGCTAATCCCATCCAACTTTTGTTTTGTGTTCCTTCGGTTGATGATGTCCGGTGATGGCCAAATCAGCGACACTCGATCCAGCTCGGATGTGATTTATATGACCATATCCCTTTCAGTGCTTTACATAATTTTACAATTAAAAATAAAATTTTTGATGGAGTCAGTTTGACTCGATCCAAATCCAATTAAAGAAGATAGAATATATAAATATGCTCACTCAATTATAATTGCAAACGCTTGCTGCTTACACAAAGATCAAAGTTTAGATAATTTAACGATGTGATAATTTAGATAATTTTAAAATTAAAAATAAGAGTTTCGAGTAAATAATAATTTATTTTGAATAGGATAATCTTTTTATAATGGACTTAATCCTAGAAATATTTTATAGTATATATGGATGGAATATTCCTCCGACATAGAAAGTTCACACAGTCCGATTGTTGATCGGGACCCACTTTTTTCTTGGTAATCGTACTGCCACGTGGCATGATGATAGGATAAATATTTCCTCTGTCACTGTATCAATTTGGGTAACACAACCGACCGTGTATTACAAGAAAGGGTTATTTACCATCCGAAGCCTTCGCTTCTTCTTCTTCTGACGCTTCGCTCGACCGGAGAAGCTCCTCCAACACCTTGTCGTCCAAGCACTCCAGCTCGATCACCTGCTCCCCGGAGGCAGCCGCGGCGCTCCCGCGAGCTCGGCTCGTCGACGGCGAGACCGCACCGCGACGGCGGCGAGAACGGACCTCTTCCGGGAAGTTCAGCACCGCGAGATCGCCCCTCATCTGGTAAGCGGCCTCGTCGTAGGCTCGGGCGGCCTCCTCGGCGGTGCCGAAGGTGCCGAGCCAGACGCGGGCGCCGTGACGGCCAGGGTCGCGAATCTCCGCCGCGTACTTCCCCCACGGGCGGCGCCGGACGCCCCGGTACTTGGTCTCGCCGCCCTCCTTCTGATCTCCTCCGTCTCCCATGAAGCGGACGGAAGTAGGCAGCGGAAGGCGGCTTCGGGCGGCCATGTAGATTTAAACATGTAGGGACTGGGACAGGAATGACATCGGACGATCCAAATTCAACGATGCGGAAATCTAAGGCTTAAAGTTGACGTACGGGAGGAAGCTACGTAGAACTCTCCTACTCGGGAATAAAAGTCGACTTGGAGTTGGGTTCGATGTATGTGGGTGGGGTCAGAGGCGATGGCTTTGGAAGCTTCTATTTCCCTCGTGCAGTATAAATATAATCACCGGATTTAACCCTCGTACAGTGTTTCTTGTCGATCCTAATAGTATTGCCCAGAGGCGATGGCTTTGGAAGCTTCTATTTCTCTCTCTCTCTCTCTCTCTCTTACGTGCAATGTTCATGCACAGAGACGCAGTGCTTTTGTTGAGAGCCACCTCGCGGCTTTCAGGCGCCCATCTGTTCTCGTCTGGTTTCCGTGAAGAATTAGTTTGTGGCTGCTACAGGTTCACTCTCTCTCTCTCTCTCTCTCTCAGGTGCGATGTTCATGCACAGGGACACGGTGCTTTTGTTGAAAGCGAACTCGTGGTTTGCATCTGTTCTGTGAAGTAGTTTGTGGGTGGAAGAGGTTCATGCTCCGTGCTTCTTCGCTCTCTCTCTCTCTCTCTCTCTCTCTCTCTCTCTCCCTATATCTATATCTATCTATCAATCTAACCTGATCAGGTGAGGTCGAAGGAGACCGGCCGGTTGACTTGATGGGTACGACGCAAGGGGCGATGGGGACTTCGCGGCCGCCCTGCCTCGCCACCAGTAAGCGCAGCCGTCGATGATTTCATTTGGTGGGACGCACGCAATCGATTGAGACCTTGCTTGGATTTAATCCACGTCGATAACACTGTGATGCAAGCAGCCGTTGCATACGAAGTCCAGATTAGGTGAACAGAACAACTCGGCTTTATTTACTAAGAAGAAGAAGAAGAAGAAGGTCGGTGAAATGCTCGACATTCTTACCAGCAAAAAAATCCGAGAAGGGTCAAAATTTATTGTACTGCAAACAGCAGCCGCTTTAGTCTGTGATGGGAAAACCCAAACGAGAAATATTTCTCTGCATTAAATCGTTTGTAAAAGGTTCTGATAGAAATAGGTGTAAAAAATTTAACTCGATCATAGTGATACATTCTTTTAAAAGGGCAGCCTCAATAGAATTTGCTTTCCTAAGGGCTACAAGACATTTTGGGACAAAATAAAGCACTAAAAACCTATTGAACATCATATTGGAAAAGAACATTTTAATATAAATAATTATAAGGACAATAGTTTTAGGGACAAAATAAAACCCCTGTTTTTTTTTCCTCCAAAGGTGTCCCCTCTTTTTATATTTTCCTAATAATACCTCCTCTTTTAAGAAATATCAAATATGTTATCGCGTCCACTGTGGTCACCTCAACCGCTTGTGACGCCTTCCCCGTCGATCGTGACGCCTTTGTCGCTGGTCACAAAGCCTTCCCCATCGGTCGTGTTCCGTGGTGCAAAGGCAATGCGATGGGAGTAGGGGTGAGGACGTTGCCGTGGTGAGAGCAGGAGATGGAAGTGACGATGGGGAAGTTGATGGACGGGGTGTTGTTAGGAAAATACAAAAAGAGTGGACGACTTCTTAGAGAAAACCTAAAAAAAAGAATTTCAAAAAAATCACTTAAATGAAACACTAAAAGCTTATCAAATATTATATTATCAAAGAAAAGTTTGCCCTAAAATAAGTAACAATTTCTACATCAAATGGTTCTCACAACAATAAGACTTCTGTGCATATTGTTTACAGAAAGCTTATAATTATTTACTTCAAATTCAAGTGAAAAAAACAAACAACAATTAATTCTATGACAAATTAAAAATAATTAATCCATACGTGTATCGATATCGAGACAGTATAAATCGATACACTGTCCAATATGACGATATCGCACTAGTCTAACAGAAATGCCAAAACCAATATTGGACTGAGAATTTTCACCTTAATTGCATGTATCCTTTCGGCATACATCGTCTTCCTGAGGTAAAATACTCAATCAATCTCCATAAACAATTTAAATCTATAAAGATTTTGTAGTGGCCCAACAATTAAGGTGGAACTGGTATATATAGGTGGATCATCTACTTTTAATGATCAAGTTGATAATTCCAAGCCTATAGATTTAACCAACCAAACTCTACATCTTAATCACCAAATGATATTAAGAGAGAGAATTTGAGCTCCAGGCTAACATTGTTCCTTTGCAACTATGGTGATCACAGAGATTTGACCACATTGAATCGACTGGATGGTGTAAGAAAAGGAGTGTTTTTGGATATCATGATAATATCAAAAGAATCATGAGGCAGTCATGTATTAAGAAAGAAAATTTTAGATTACAAAACTTCACTTAGCTGTTCACCATCTCCCCAATGGAGAGCTTCCATGTCTCACAAGAAAGACCCAATGTTCAGCAGAGGTTCCCTCCAATCCATCTGCATCATTTTCATTTCTGGTTCTCTGCTTTCTCGGATGATTGTACCTGAGCATCAGCCTGAGTAGGGTTTGTTTCTTCCAAAGTTGTTGCAGCTAAAGTTTCTGAGGTGGATTCTGATGGTCAATATATGATTGTTAAAGTATGAACACCAAAGAAGGAAGAAAAGAATGATATTAGTTTCAGCTTAAACACATTTGCCTGACCTTGGGGTTGTTCAGCAGGTGTTGGTGCCTCTGCTTGAGATATGGCTGCAGATGCAGTCAGCTGCTCTTCTGTGACCTTCAAAAGTTCTTCACTGGTATATGATCCAGTTGAAGGCTTGCCATCTGAAAGATACAAAATAATGTTCTTTCATGTCGTGGTGAAGTTTCAAGCAAACACCAAAGCAGAGAAATAGGATGCATGAGGCAGATGTATATGGAATGGGATCTTGTGTTAATTGCACGGACATCAAAATCTCACCGGATCAGCAACCTGTCAACTAATGCACTATGACAATTAGGACCAGAAGACAAACCACGATCTAGGAACTGCATATAATATGAAACAAGTAATTTCAAATTTGATAGCTACTTGTTTAGCTGGTAAAGACCTTGACACATTTTGAAAGTTGAAGGGTTCGAAACCTCAACCGACACATTTTGAAAGTGTCAACTAGTTTAGCTGGTAAAGATTTGACAGTATAGTGTAAGATCCTGCGATCGAATTCTGTCTTCCTCACTTAAACTTTGTAAAAATAAAAAAAATTGATAGCTATTTCAATGATAAACCAGTGTATTCAAATTATTCAAATTCAAGGTTGGCAAGATCAGGAATGAAATCAAAATCACTCTTGGGGTAAGAATCAAGTCTTCAAAAACCACCTAGTTTGAATCAACAACAGGGATTGGCAAAAAATTATTTTAAGATAAAAATATTTAAAAAATCAAAATTAGGAAAAAGAATCAAATATTGAAAATATGTCAAATTGTATGAGGTTCAGAATTCATCAATGAAAATATTTAGGACCTATATGTAAAAGTCTAATGGTAATTAATATATGTGATTTGCAAGAGCCCTTAGATTTGCAACCTCCTCCTTATCTCAACCATTTCAAGTGTTGCTTTAAAATCTTCTCCAATCATTTTGTAAATCTATTTTTATCCACCAGTTTGTAATTTAAAGTAGGAGGTTGGACCCCATAGTAGGCAAGTGCATCATATGCCAATGAGTGGTTAGGATGTGATAATTCGAGGATTCCAATTAAAAGTACTATCAGAGAAGGTCCTCACTTGATCCTCTTCCCCGCTGCACCACTCCACTGACCACACAATAAAAGATAACAAAACTCCCATCCTCTATGCTTCATATCCTTGCCTGTTCTATATTTTTCTTTAACTTTTTTTCTTTTTGAAATACTTTCTTCCTCTGTTTCACACCCTATCCCTTTGTCCACGGTAGCTGAGGACTAGCACCCACCAACTGCAGCACGAAGATTCAATGAGTTCAGCTGTAACCTCTAATATTATTTTTCACATTATTCCTCCTCTTCATCATCTTATCTTTCTATTCTTCATAAATTCCAGGCATGGACAACCCACCACAAGCCTTCTTCTCCCTCCATCTCTCTTAGGTTCTTTTTTTGCTTTTCTGTTTCTGCTACTAGAAAATAGAGACTGCCAGTATAAATCATTTCCCTCCGTCTCCAACTGAACACAAGTGATCATGAACACTTGACAAATAGGCACTTGATTAACATAAGGCTTTTTTGACTATTATGAAACTCGGTTTTATTGTCATCGCAAAAAGTTGAGGTGAGCCTTGTGCCATAGTAAGATTTATTACAACTTATTTAAGGCAAAACTTGACTGCCCGTTGTGTCAGAGAAACAAATTTGTTTCTCTAGAAACTCAGGCAAAAACAAAGAAAGAAAAAAACAACTCAAGTAAACAAGTTCATGCCAATCTCAACTCTACAGTCTAAATGACTAATTGACTACTACTTAATCACCTCATGATTATCAGGTGTTAGAAAGCACCTTTTGAACTTACTTGGATCAACTGAAGCTTGCTGTTTTTCATCAGCATACAAGGCAGACTTATTAATGTAGTTTGTAGAGGATGCAACCTCATCAAGTCCAATCTCCCGCTCTAGGGTGCTCTTGAATTCCCTTGACACATCCTACAGCAAAAGAACTATCAACTGAAAATTGCAGCATCATAATTTTTTAGAATATTTTAACAAGCTCATCTCCTAGAAACATGGTCATTTAATGTTTCTCATATATCCATCATGATGGAGTTCATAGCATAAAATATACTGAACAGAATTTAGCAAACCTGAAGCTCCCTAATTGTTGGCTGGAAAGCTCGCAAGGTCTTTCCCAAGTTTCGTGCTACCTGCAAAGTAGTAACTTGATTAAGAGACTAACTATACCTAAGAAATCACCTCTTGCCAAAGTACCAAGGAAAATATAAATTGAAAACTTGCTGATGTGACATTCAAGTTAAAACTTCTTTGTGGAATGCAAATACTTACCAAACAGTTTTCGTTCTGCATAAACAATAATGAAACATAAGCATGCATGAAAATTTTGCACAGTATCAAATTATTTTGAGTGTTTTCTTTTTCTTTCCTCAGATCAAAAAGATGTTTGCATCATTTTTAGTAATGACCAAAGTAGGACATGTACCAACTACATAATTGCATCATGAAGATTAACATGCATATCTAAAAAGATCAAATTACTATGTCAATGATATGTGAGATAAGGCGAATACCCTTTTTTGCAAATGGTAAGTAGTGAAGATGGATCTTGACAAAGTCATTACCAGCCAAGCTAGCTACCACTTGACAATCTTTACCAGCCAAGTTAGCTAGCACCTTTGACATCTTATAGTTTTAACTTTTAACAACTTGACCATCAAATAAGTAAATGGACATAGAACCGAAAATATATATTTCCCACCAATTTTTCTTATGATACCATCTAAATTAACAATATGATCAACATTCAATGACAATAACCATTTTCACATACCTCTCCCAGGCTTCCTGCAACACTATAGCCTAAACTAAGAAAACTGCTAATGTATTTCCCATGTAAATCAGAAGCAAAACATTTGGTTAGGAGTTTGGATTAAGACCACCCACCACAGGAAAATGTTAAATAGAAATTTGGACCAAAAATGGACATCAGCCTAGCCCAAGTCATGGCCACCGAGACATGGTCATGTTGGGCCAATCTATGTGGTTGTTTGGCCTTGTAGAATGCTACACAAGGCAGCCAGCTCTATTTTCATTATTGCTGGCCACAGTGGGTGACATGGGAGCAGATGAAACTGCTGATACAGGAGCTTGTATATCCTATTATATTTTTAGGTTATTTGAACTACAACAAACATATTTGGAAGGGCTCTAGATGGTCAAAGGAGACTCTTAAAACAATTAGAACTTTCAATCCCAAATTACGACAGGATTACAGCAGCTTAAAGAAAGTTGGAAGGTAAACAGGAAGAATAGGACTGCACCAAATGAGAAAAGGAAGACTAAGCACCCTTTTTACAACCCAAACAGGAGAGGAGGGGCAATAATGTAACAGTAATAAAACAGTACTGCAGCATGAGATCATAGAAGATATTGCTTGTGTATTAAGTAGTGCTTTCTAGACTATTCACATTCCTAGTTAGATTAGAGTTTTGAGGTAATTGTAGTCCTATAAATATGAATACTCATAAGGCCTTAAGGCATATGCTTGAATGATTTCTCTAAATTTTTTCATATTAACATTAATTAATGTCAAATTTTAGCCTTCTGATTAGTAGCTAGGAGGCTTCTCCTTTTCCTCTAACTAGAAAAGTGCATCTTAGAGAGACACTAATAGGTAGCTTACATTCATCTAGGCAATGCATGTATTCCTACAACATAGAGACACAATTAATCTTTGCATGGCACAGTCTGTATTTCTTTTCTCTTTGCAATCTACAGGTGATATGATGATGATGAATTATGTTAAAATTAAGTGACTATAAATCCCAACAAATTCCTAATCATCAGAAGGAACTTGCCTCAGCTAGGCCTTTAGGACCAAATACCAGCAAAGCCACCACTCCAATAACCAAAGCTTCAGGAGCTCCCACTCCAAACAAAGAAGCATAAACCACTTTACCATGACAATTTCCCTTGTCTGCAACACAGAAGTAAAAGAAAGTTGAAGTAAACATGCTAACTAGACTAGCAGATATGCAAAAGTATTTGAAATGATAAAGACTGTGTAGGAAGGGAAAAAGCTAAAATGTGAGAGCTACAGCTAAATAAAGCATGTAGAGACAAAAGTGAAGAAAACTTTAGCTTAAATATAGGCTAGGAGATGGAATAAAGCCATTATGTTAGAGAAATGCCTATCAACTAAATAACAAACAAGCAGAAAAAATATATAAAGTCTATTATAACCTAGAGAATATTCAAGATAAGAAAATGAAAGTGCTAAAAAATCAAAATAAACTCTTTTGTAAAAATTAGGAACAAATTCATAAAACAATGATAAAGAATCATGTGCAAGTGATAAAAATATCCACTAGAGTCGATGCATGCAGAAACTTAAAAAGATAAATGCACAGTGCAAATACTCATAAACGTAGACACAGCTTGCAATTTCAAATAAATATGAAGCCTTTCATGCCTTTATTGTAATTAAAAATAACTGAAATTTTAGAAGTCGCTCTTATTAACCTGGAGCTTGCTAGAGCTAAGATGTACAAAGCAAAAATGAGATATACAACTTTTTATAGTTTGTACATAGTCTGAGTTAGCTCATTCCTGACGAACAATGATTTCAACACCACCAATGCAAGCAAGCTTCTAATATGTCACTTGTACTATTCTATCAATAAAAAAATTATTTCAGGTTAGTATCAAAGTATCGACAAAGAATTAAACTCAGTTCACACCTGAATAAAAATGCACTAAATTAAAATACAACATGCAAGTCAAGTTTGAATAATTCAACCACAACCAAACTTATAACTCACTAGCCAGGCAAAGAAAAAAAAAATGGTACAGTGATAGAACCAATTTGATCAGGCAAGAATAACCAACTAAGCCAATGTACACTAATTGGTTAATATAATTCAAGTATGTCCCGTCAAGAAAAGAATGTAGGCAAAAGAGATGAGCAAAACCTAATATCCAAAATCACTTCAAGTTTTGCATGGACATCTTTAACTAACATGGAATCCTAGTTATCAAAGGGACTTGAAACATGACATATAAGCAACTAAAGTTGCATACGTTGGATCTTTTTATATATTATAAACCATGTTTGATTGTCAAATTATGAAAAATCCCCTATCTTATCATCATTTGCAACCCGACATTAAGAGTTTGCATAAAATTTGCAAATAGCTGCCTAGCTTCAAATGCTCTTCAAATGCTTCAAACATGACATATAAGCAACTCAAGTTGCATACGTTGGATCTTTTTATATATTATAAACCATGTTTGATTGTCAAATTATGAAAAATCCCCTATCTTATCATCATTTGCAACCCGACATTAAGAGTTTGCATAAAATTTGCAAATAGCTGGCTAGTTTCAAATGCTCTTAATACGTTTTCATAAATGTCAAAAGACTATATCGATTATCACATCTCTCCTTTTTATAACTACCCTAGTCCATCCTCTTCCATGGTTGTAGATACCAAACCATAGTAGAGCGAAAATTATTGGATGTTCACTTGTGAAGTGGATGGGGTAGCTACAGGTTAGTTAAGAGAAATATCACATAAGGGTTCATGATTCAGCAGCTTAGGCTTTGGGGTTGATAGCCACTCGTGTACAGTCCCTTTTCTGAGGTCATTGGACTTTATCACCCTCCTAACAAAGTAGTGGTGCTACTGTAGCACAGTAACGAACGTGGTAATATGGTTTCAAACACCAGGTCCAAGAACGGTTTCGAAAAGCTATCAGACTAGTATGATACCTGAATGTCATACTAACATATACCACCCAGTCACACTGAAAAAACCAAATAGTATACTAAGTGATACTGAACTATATGTTTCGAACCTGATGCTTAGTTGGACTGGTAAATACTAATTAGTACCAACCGATCTACTGGTATACTAATCCATGAGTGGGTGACTTGTTGAATACACAGGTATAACAGACAAATATTGTAACAATTAAATCCCTAAAATAGGTGACAAAGTTAGGATGCTGGCGAAATGTTCCAAGTCTGTTGATAGCAACTGACGTCATATAATAACAATGATAAGTACTTATTTTAAGTGAAACTTGAATCTGTGTCCTTATTCTAAGCCTTCATGATCTCATAAGTACTTGAATCTGGTGTGGAGCAGTGAAATGAACATAAAAAAAAACTAAGCAACAAAATGGTGAGAAGACTCCTATGGGTTCACAAGCAGTTGCAGCACCTTGAGTGAAAGGTTTTCTAAATGTTCATCCTGAACCTCATTGCAAGAGAAGCCAAGTCATGGCATTATGCGTGTACGTTAGTACATGGCACATATATGTGTATTCATAATAACCATTACTGGATTACAGATTAAACAGCAATACCAATCTAGAACTAGCACTAGTAAAAGGAAAAGGAAAGATAGCATACAGTCTACACCACTGAGGATGTTATTAAAGTATTGCTAATATCAACTCAGAAATTGTCTTCTCTTTCTCTTCGTAAGAAGACACGCAACCTAGATTTTCTTTATAAAATTTTGTTGAGAGGATATTACAATGTAATAAAAACGAATAAATAGCTTATTACGACGTAATAACAAGTGTTTATATGTTAATCCAAGCAACCTTGTTAGAGTTTAATAACTCCCTGATCGAAGATTAAAATCTCAACAATTTTGTTAGGACAAGTTATTAAGACCTCCTCCAGCTCATACAATCTTCCTCGCTCTAACAAGTCCACAATAGCATTGATGACGTCCCAAGTGATTCTCTTCACACAATCTCATGCATGTGAAATGCTCTTTCTTTTGGTAAAGCAGTATGGCCAATTCTAACCATACTAATGCCTCAAGAATGTAACCAATTGGCACATAATATCAAGCAAAAGAATAATTTGATAACTAATCCCACAAAAGCCCTAAATTTGACACCCTCCTTAGAGTCAGGTGCCACATCCTAATGATAGCTTAATCTGAATTGGGTGCATTTTAAGGGCCTCTTTCCTGGGGTGACTAATGTATCACTGTAATCAAATCCTTTGCATCCTTTCCAAAATAAGTGAGCAGCCTCAGATCTCAAGGAAAATATCATGCCAGAGAAAACTGACTACATAAAAAGGTTGCGAAGGAGGAGGCGACCTTTGCGGGCGTGCTTTCGCGGAGGCACAAAGGAGCCGAGCTGCTTCAGACTACTCCAGGGCGAGAGGAGACCGGGGCCGAGTCCGGGGATCGACCGAAGGAGGTGAGACAAAGGTGAGCGTTTGGGACAAATCCTGACACGGCGAGGGGACGCGATGAGAAGCGCCGACGCCTTGGGTCGGGAAGAAGAAGAGCAACAGTGGCAGCAGACGGCCGGGGAGAGCGTCGCTGCGCCCATGGCGACCAAGACCGAGCTCGAACGGGATGTGGGGCAGCGAGATCGAGGACTCAAAGCTTTTGGTAAATGATGGATATATACATATATAAATAAATAAATAAATATATGTATGTATATATATATTTGTATGTATATATATGTATGTATATACATATACATACATATATATACATACATATATATATATATATGTATATATATATGTATATATATATATACGTATAATATATAT